GGCTAAGAGATGATTGGCTGATTTGCAAAAATGGCTCTCTCTCTCCTAGTCTTGGTTAAGTAACAGATGGAGACATATTCAGATAATCAGTAGCAATATAATATGGGACCAGAAAGCCATCAGCATTTAGTATTGTTTCTATGAGCTTGTTTATTCACCTACTAGAGGCCCAATGCTCGAAGATTCGTGCAAGAATGGGCCTTCCTTCCCCTGGCTGCCAGCACCGCCTTCGCTTCAGGTGGAGCCGCCTTTTCCGCCTTCCCATGCTGCCCAGAGGCCTGGAGCGGCTGGGGCAGTGCTGAACGCCTGCTTCTTCGCCATGGTGACGACACAAGCATCCCACCCCACCCCTGGCCGCTCGGTGCCTGCATATGCAAATTAACCTGCCATCTTTGTTGGGTTAATTTGCATAATACTTTTAATTGGCTGGTGGGCACCATGAAGGTATGGTCAATTTGCATCTTTCTTTTTTATTAGTGTAGATACTTCCCAGAAAATAAACTGTAACTATTCTAGTCTCTGGTTATTAGAACTAAATGAAGTGTCAATTAACTAGAGCAAAATAGAAAACAGAAAAAATCATGACTTTTCTTGTATATAAAAAATTCCTTCACCATGCAAAAATCTACCCAAGATTAACAGTGTCTTCAATCTGAATACTGAGCATCTTGCTTCAGCACATAGGTTTCAATCTCACTTTAAACCAGCTTTTAAAGCAGGAATTGTTCTATGAGAACTGTTTTATGAAAAAGCCTAATATAATCATTAACAAGTCAAATTTCTCTTCAGGTCCTAAGGTAGTTTAATTGCTTTGTATTGTAGGGCACAATTTGGAGATTTTAAATTAGAACTAACAACATAATAGAAATTAAACCCATGAGCAACAAATTCTGAGATTAATATTAGTCTATGTTTTGCATTTAATTCATTTTAATCAGAAAACTTAATTTTGGACTCATTACATTATAACATATTATCTCCAAACAACTGGGACAGACATAAACCTAAGATATAAGATGTTAAATGGTGAAATATTTAAGTTCTAAATTGAAAATGGTATAAGAACTGCTGAGAAATCGAAACTGTAGCCATATAGCTATCATAGCCCACTTTGATTAGACTAGGTAAAGCATTCAGATGGGAAAACCACACTATCATATTTGCCACCAAAACAAAATATGATTTTGAGAAACTGTCTTTGCTAGTCATTGGAACTAACTCTATCTTGGCTGAAGTCAGTCTGTGGAAAATCAACTTATGTAATGGTCTTAAAGTCTGCGTCCTTTCAGCCTCACATGAGGATAAAAAGATCTTTAATTAAGTAATTCTTCTATAAAGATATAAATATTGAATAAGTCCAGAGGGGAGAATCTGAAGAAAAATGAACAGCCTTCATGATAAAACTTGATTCTTAATTATTAAATTCAACTACCCACTTTATAAGACATTAATATTTAAATAACATAAACCAGTATCTTTTACTAAGTCCAAAAAGTAGGGGTTTTGGTGTTTTTTTTTAATGTTAGCCTAGCTGCAAAAATTATAAAGCCATTGGCAATGAGACATAAAGAAAGGTGAGGCTTCTATAAAGAGCTATAGGCCAATACACACATTTTTTAAATGCTAAAAGGAATCATAGCAGGGGGAAGAAAAAAAATCTGCCAAATTAATGATTTTAGGAATAATAGAACAGGATAAACACAAAACAACAACTTGGGATATCCATTTAGTTACTGAACTTAGTTCACGTAGGATTATCTACAGCAGGGTTTGTGGGAGTCCCTGTTGCAGGATACCTGCAAATCTGCTTTGAGCAAGACTTTAATTAGAAAGGTCTGTGTGTGACCTCCCACTCAAATGGGATCGGTTCCTGCCCGGCTCCATATATTGAAAAGCACCGAGACAGACTTATGTGATGTTCACAACCCAAAGACATTTTTAACTTGTAAACTCCTCATACAGCAAGACAAAGTAGGAAAACTCTAATCACCAACAATTTTTTTTTTTAACTTTTGGGCTGTTTAGGGAATTCATTTTAGAAACAATAAGCTGCAACAAATAGAAGAGTTAATTTATTTCTTTGACATTAAATATATTTTCTTCCAACTAATAAGATGTAATTTCTCACAAATAAATGGGGTGTGTGTGTGGGGGGGGGGGGGGACCCTGCAAATCTTAAAGGAAAAACCATTGAGAGAAAAATGTTAAATGATACTTCAAGATTTTGTAACTTTCAAATTCTGTCAAACATATCACTTGAAATTTCACTTGTCAAAAAAACAAACAAAACCCTCCAAAACCGTATTTACATATCCATTATTGCAGGTATCTAATTATTCAAAAATATAAAAAATAATAAAAAATACATTTTCATCCTTCATTTAAGGCTCTATATAACTCAGAAATTGATACTAAAATCTGTTCATTTCAAACAGTCAATATCTTTCAGTGGAGAGTTTATCACACTCAAAGACAATTTTCAATAAGAATAACATTAAAGTTCAAATTTTAAGTCAATGGGAATGGGGTCAGATTTAGACCACATTCACTATAAAGAACTAGACAACTAATGTGTCACTATACATTTAAAAAATGATGACTGAGGATGGGGACAAGTGGGGAGGCAGACAGTGGCGACCTCTGGAAGATGGAATCTCTTCTCTCTGCTGGCCCTAGAAGAGAAAAGAGACACCAATAAGCATCAACACACTGTCCGAATTCCTCCCCACCAGAGACCCACCAGTCCACAGGTGTTTCTCAACCTTACAGCCATCCTCACCTTTATATGTGGTATTCAGTGCCAACAGAATATCAAAGACACCACCCTATCCGAACTTAATTAGCGCTGCCTTAAAAAAATAAAAACTATCAAAAGTATTGTTTATTTTTATACAGTTATAATCTGCATCAAATGGGGCTAAAGGCAGCTGGGCTGAAATAACAGTTCTCATCTGTATTAAGAAAAGCTTTCTAAAATTATTGCACTAGATTATCCTATCCTATATTATAAAAGGCTAATATGCAAATCGACCAAATGGCAGAACAACCGGTCGCTATGGTGTGCACTGACCACCAGGGGGCAGACACTCAATGCATGAGCTGCCCCTGTTGGTCAGTGTGCTCCCACAGGGGGAGTGCTGTCAGAAACTGGGATCACGGCTGGCGAGCACAGGGGTGATGGCGTGGCAGGAGCCTCTCCTTCCTCTGCCGCACTGCTAAGGATGTCTGACTGACGGCTTGCAGGAGCGGGCCTAAGCTGCCAGTCGGACATAACCCCCCGCCCCTCCCCAGGGCTCCCAGACTGTGAGAGGATGCAGGCCAGGCTGAGGGGAACCACCCCCCCACCACCACCCAGTGCACAAATCTTGTGCACCGGGCCTTTAGTTTTCAATTATAAAGAGACTATTAAATAAAAAATTTTAAATATCTAAATTATCCGTGTGGGGGGGGGGGGGGCATCTGTACAAACCTAGTGGCTACAACCAAATACTTGGGTTGTAACTGTTGTGACTCCCATTAAATGCACACGGAGAGGATATGGTGAATGGGGTTGTTTACATCCAGCTGGCTACGAGAAATTAATCAACTTGTACAATTTGAAAAAAGTTATCCTCATCCTGGAAAGAAGCCCTGAAACACTAAAATTTTTTGAAATCTAAATAAGTAGATAACTATAGTAGATAATTCCTTCAATATTGTAATGCAAATAGAATTCTCCAGAATCTCCTTTTCCTAGGTAATAAAGTTAGTAATTCCAAACACCTGGCAAATTCTTCCAGACACTACCAGGGCTTACACAACCAGAACTCTGAACCCGTTATTTTCTCACGTATTCTTGTGGAAGACCTTGTCGCTGAGAACTGCCTTCCCAAGTAAACCCTACAGGAAATCATTTTCGTTTCAGCTACTCAAGACTTACGTCCAAATGCATGCAATGGGGACTTACACTAAATAAGCAGCAGCTATATTTCCACATTACTGACCACTGCTGTCGCCCAGGTATTGTGCTGAACAATGGAGATACAAAAAGACTAATGAGACACCATCTCTGGCCACGGAACCGGCAGTGACAGCGGCGCATCGCTGGAAGCCCTGCAAGCCTGGAAACGGAATCTCTTCTCAACTCACTGGCTTGGGGTGAGGAGAATAGAATTTAAACCCCTGAGGTCTGCGTTTGCAACCACCACAGTGACTGCCGGCCCCTGGCGCAGAGTGAAAACCCCGCTGTTCTGTGCTTCCAAACTAGTCAGCGCAAGGTCCGAAGAGATGCAGCGAACAGAGGACTCATCACTTCAGTCGCGGCTTGGGAAGTGTCACGCAGAAAAAGACGGAGAATTCAAGATGAATGTCTGATTTTGAAAGTCATTAAGAATGTTAGGGCTGGGAAAGACCTAACTCCGTATTGCCAACGAAGGAATTCAGAAATCCAAACACGCATAACAACCCACGTGGGACAGCGCCCACTCCTTTGTTGACAAATTACAATCACCCCAACAAAAAGAAACGTTTGAAATGCGCAGACCACGCGTTTTCACGGCAGCTTTCCCGAGGGACTCAAATGCCTGCACAGATAACTCGCCGGCGCCAGCTGCGAAGAAGGGACAATCTGGGGCCGAAGCCCAGAGCCAAACGCGTCCAAGCCGCCCGACTCCGGGCCAACCGGACAGGCCCCGCGGTCCCTAGGCCACGTTCGGAGCCCAGAAAGGCCTCGCCCCGCCCTGAAGGGATGGATTCCGCAAACCTACTGCTTGCCATCAAAGTGATGGATTCCGCAAACCTACTGCTTGCCATCAAAGTGATGGATTCCGCAAACCTACTGCTTGCCATCAAAGTGATGGATTCCTTAAACTGCGCCGCGCTGCCACCCGAAACCCCGAGCCCGGAGCGCGGGAGCTCCGCCCGCCACGAGTGCCCGCACCGAGCGGCCCCTCCCGCCGGCCGCGCCTTCCCACCCGGAGCGCGCAGCACCGGGGACACCACGCGTCCGGCCGAGCTTGTACCTCGCGCCACTGCTCCGAAAGGCCCGGAACGAGCGCCCGGCCGCTCCCGGCGCCCCCATTCGGCCCAGGAGACCGCGGAGCAGCGAGAGGGTGCAGGCGGACTGAGCCATGACCGCGAACCCCCGGCTTCCGGACGGAGTTCACCCCCGCCGCTCCGGTCCCGCAGCTGCTGGATGGGGTCCGCCCCCACCGGGCCCGGCGGGGGAGCAGCTCCCACCACCACCGGGTTCCGGGGAGCAGTGCAGGGGCGGGGCCAGGAGCCAGGCTCGGGCCGGGATGGGGGGCGGGGCTGAGGGATCTCCCCAGCGTCAGGGGGCAGGGTCGCGCCCCAAGGCTGGAGCTGGACGTGGTCTGGGGGGTTGCATCTGGAAGCCCGGTGGATGGCCCTGTGGTTTGGCGACGTGGCTTCTCTCCTACTCCGCAAGCCTCAGATCTTCCCGCGGGGGGGGGCGGGGGGAGACACAGGGACGGCGGCGACACGAATCCGCTCCTCAGCACCCCCCTCTCTCCAAGCCGGGGCTCCAACCCACAGCCTCGCAGAGGCCACGAGGAACTCGGTTTAAAGCAGGGAGGGGCTCACTGGTTCTTTTGTTTCTGACTTCCGTAGTGCGACCTTTGGACACCTTGGGAGCTGGAGGCAGAAACAAAGGTGTGAGTGTGTGGAGAGAAGAGGGGGACCTGACTGAACACGGCCTTAATTTTAGGGTTTCTGTGGCTCCACCTTATCATTTGCACTTTTGGGAGAAAAACAAAACAAAACTGAACAATGTGTATGGTTTTCCAGTCTACGATCAAGTTAACACAGCCTAGGAACGCGCTGTTGTGTATGGTGCATTTGCACTGAGAAAGCAAACTATCAGCTCCCTTTGGAAAATCAAGACTGCCCATTCATGACGCTGGGATATGTTAAAAGATAAACTGAGCCATATTTTTTTAAAATTTTAAGTGTGTAGTTGAGCACAAATTGGCTTGAATCAGGCAACATTCAATCTAGCAGATAAAAAGGAGCTGTACAAAATAAAAGTCTTTTATATAGAAGGGAGAAGGAACTAGGAAATTATACAGGCAAAAAGCAGGTTGGGCCCAGCTGCTGTACTCAGTGGTTGAGCATCCACTCATGAACCCAGGAGGTCAGGGTTCAATATCTGGTCAGGGCATATGCCTGGGTTATGGGCTCAGTCCCCAATAGGGGGCATGCAAGAGGCAAGCGGATTGATGATTCTCTCTCATCATTGATGTTTCTACCTCTTCCTCTCCCTGTCTGAAATCAATTTTTAACAAATTATTTTTTTAAAAAAAGAGCAGGATGGTTATTGCAGTTACTAAGGGGATGGTGGGGCAGATTACCTAACTAGTGATGATTGAGCGATTCCTGATTGGCTGGTTTAAGAGTCTGATTCTGGTAGAGCAGAAATGTAAGTAAGTCTTCATTTGGTGACATGAGGCTTAGCATAAGCCATTTTGGGTATGTTGTCTTGTTTTATAACAACAGACACAGATAAAACCAGCTGCAAAGTTAAAGGAAACAATATTTCTCCCAAGGTCAGACTGTAGGTATGAAGTGTCATCACAATCCTTTTGACCGCTGCTTTCTACTTAGACCAGTGGTTCTCAACCTTCTGGCCCTTTAAATACAGTTCCTCATGTTGTGACCCAACCATAAAATTATTTTCGTTGCTACTTCATAACTGTAATGTTGCTACTGTTATGAATCGTAATGTAAATATCTGATATGCAGGGTGGTCTTAGGCGACCCCTGTGAAAGGGTCATTCGACCGCCAAAGGGGTCGCGACCCACAGGTTGAGAACCGCCGACTTAGACCCTTCTTCTCTAAAATCATAGACTGCCAGAAAATTTGCTGTTTAAAGTCATATCAATAAGAATGAAACATCCTACTCTTGTCTGGATGACACAAAGAAGCAGCCTTTACTTCCAAGCAAGGTACAGAGCTTCAGACAAGGGATTTCTGGACACTCTATCAGATAGAGAGTTCAGAACTCTGGTTAAAAGGGTGCTCAATGATTTTTTTTTTATTTGGAGAGGTTTTTAATGTTGCTAATGTGCAGACATGTGAATACCTTTACCAAAGACATCATCTCCTAGCACTATCTTAACCCCTTTTGACCTGAACCATTTCTCAGGAGTCTTCATGAAGTTGGTAAGCCTGAGAGATGACAGGGTCCCTTGAGATTCTGTATGAGAGGTGAGGTAATGATTCCTTCTGTACAAAGGGAATGAATGCTTCCTTACTGCTTGCCATAAAAGTGATGGATTCCTTAAACTCAGAGTTCCTCTTCTGTTGCCCAACCCACTATACATGCGGACTTTATCTGGTCCTCCACACCACTCCGTGATACATGGGGTTCAAGAAACTGTAATGCTAATAAGATGCTAATACTCTGGCAACTACTTCTTTTGTTTTTTTTGGTCATATCATTTGACCATGTATGTGAGGGCTTATTTCTGAGCTCTCTTTTTCATTTCATTGTTCTATATGTCTGCCTTATGCCAGAACCATACTCTTTTGATAACTGTGGCTTTGAAATAAGTTTTGAAATCAGAAAGTGTGAGACCTCCAACTTTGTACTTTTTCAAGATGGTTTTGGCTACTCAGGGTCCCTTGAAATTCTATATGAATTTTAGAATGGATTTTTCTATTTTTGCAAAAAAAAAATGCCATTTAGACTTTGATAGGGATTTCATTAAATCTGTAGATTGCTTTGGGTCACATTAACATCTTAGCAATATTAAGTCTCCCAACCCATGAATACAGGATGTCTTTCCATTTATTTGTGTCTTCTTTAACTTTCTTCAGCGATGTTTTGTAGTTTTCAGTGTATAAATCCTCCTTGGTTAGATTTCTTTCTAAGTATTTTATACTTTTTGATGCTATTGTAAATGGAATTATTCTCTTCATATTCTTTCTCAATTGGTCATTTTTTGCAACTACTTTTGCTGTAATGAATTTCTTTGTCTCTGTCCAGGAGTCTCTTGTCTTCTGTAAGTCTTCATGAAACTGTGGAAGGCTAGTTTATTAGATTGTAAGTAGGACAAAATTAACTCCATCATAAAGACCCAAATTAAAAGGAATGAAAGAGGGGATATCACTATAGATGCTAAAAGCCTTATAATGTTGATAAAGTGATACTATAAAAAGCTTACATGTTAATAGGATAATAATGCAATATATTTGACAACATAAATAAAATAAAAACTTAAAATAGAAATCATAAAAAACTAACCCAAGAAGAAATTTAAAATATTATAACTATATAAATTTTAAAAAATGAATTAGTAATTAATAATCTCTGACAAAGGATTTCCAGACATAGTGGGCTTCACTGGTGATTTTTCTCAAACATTAAGAGAAGAATAATAAGGATCCTATTCAAATTTCTCAGAAAATAGAAGGAAAGGAACACTTCCCAACTCACTTTATGAGGCCACCATTGTCCTGATATCAAAATATCACAAGAAAAAAATAACTACAGACCAATATTCCTCAACATAATAACAGAAATCTTCAAAACAATAATAAATAATATAAAGCAATATATTATAAGGGTAATATATCATTAACAAGTGGGAACATATGTGGTTCAACCTTCAAAAATTAATGTAATTCTCAATAGCAACAAATTAAAGAAGAAAAAACAATGTTGATCTCAGTAGATGTAGAAAAAGTATTTGACAGAATTCAACATTTATCCATGATAAAAAAAAATAAAAACTTTCACAAAACTATAAATATTCATCAAGCTGATAAAATGACTCCTATGAATACTCACAAATACTCATACTTCATGGTGAAAGACCCCTAAGATTAAAAACAATGGTATTTTCTCACCATTTCTACTTTATATTGTACAGTTCATCTGGGGCTGACTAAAAAAGGGTACAAAAGAACTTTTGGAGTGATAAGATGTTCTAGATTTTAATTATGGTGTGATACATAATTTATGCATTTGTCAAAACTCATCAAATCACACATTTAAAATGAGAACATTTTATTGTATGTAAATTATACCTCAATTAAAATAGATAAAACACAAGAGTTAAGCATTGTTGATTTTCTTCATATGTAATCCACATCCCTCACTCACTAAGAAGCCTCTTCTATTTTTTAAAAAAATAACTTTTATTGAGTTCAGAGAGGAAGGAAGAGGGAGAGCTAGAAACATCAATGATGAAGAGTATCATTGATCAGCTACCTCCTGTACACCTCACACTGGGGATCAAGCCCACAATGCGGGCGCAACCCGGGCATGTGCCCTGACCAGTAATTGAACCGTGACTTCCTGGTTCATAGATGGATGCCCACTGAGCCACTCTGGGCAGAAGCCTCTTGTGTTTACACCACTTTTATTTCCCATAATTAATTTGGCCACTAGAGGGAATCCATGTTTCATAAACCCAAAAGCTTTGCAATGATTTGAATATCATGTCATCTCTGGATATACATGCACAGAAAAGAATAATACATGTGAAAATTTTCATTAACAGATTTGTAAGAATTTAGTAACAAATTTGATAAAACTCTTTTTGGCCCTAATAACAGAAAATAAAAGTGTTACTTGTGGAAGGGATGAAGCTCCTTTCATTAGTTTATTGAAATAGTGAACCCAATCTTGACTTTCATCTAAATGTTGTGAGTCATTTAAACATAATCTTGGAATATTTTTATTGATGAGAGAGAGAGAGAGAGAGAGAGAGAGAGGTGAGGGGGGCGGGGGGACTTGTTGTTCCACTGATCTATGCATTCATTGGTTGATTCTTATATGTGTTCTGACTGGGGATTGAACCTGCAGCCTTGCTGTATCCAGATGATGCTCTAATCAACTGCTGAACTATCCACCCAGGGTACCTTGGGGTATTTTTTAAATAAGGACATACTTTTGGTTACAAAAGTTATACGTGTTCATTATAGAAAATTTGAAAGTTGTAGAAAAGCTGAATGAAAGAAAAGAAAGAGAAGAATTATAAAAGCCACTGTCATAAGATACACAGTCCGCAAATAAGAATGCTGTCAATATTTAGGTGTATTGCCCCCAGAGCTTTTATTTACACATTAATTTTACTTGGTTGTAATCATATATAACATGGCCACTAGAGGGAACCCATGATAGAATTTAACCACTATTTGGTATCTAAAATAAAGTACAAATTAATATTTGTTCATAATGTGGAATATTCATAATTATATTAACTATGCTTCTTTGAAGTGTTTTTAATAGCACTCACCTAAGAAAGTTATACTAA